AGTGGGGCCCCGAGGGCCGCGGGGGCCACCGGCGCCGCGCATCGCCTGCGGGCCCCGCCGGGCGGCCTCTGCACCCGAGCCCCGGGGACACAGGGGAAGGAGAGGGAGAGACCCCAGGAGCAGAGAGATAACAGACGCGGGTGGGTGGGAAACAAGATAGAGCAAGGCACAGAAATGAGGGACGGAGATATGGAGAGCAAAGCAGAGACAGGACAGGGCGAGAGAGGAAGAGACACAGGGAAAGAGAGAGAGAGAGAGGCAGGTAGAGAGAGACAGACAAGGAGATGCACAGAGATAAGTGGAGAGACACAAGACGGGAGATAGAAGACCAGGTGCAGATTGCGAGATACACAGGTAGGAAGACAGAGGATGAGAAGTGTATTGTAGAGACACAAAGACAGAGATAGGTAGATGCAGAGAAGGGGACAGAGGAATAGGAAGACAGGGCAGGAACGGGGCCAACAGTGAGAAGGAAGGAAAGAGACTCACATGTGAGCCGAATAGGAGCAGGGAGACAGCAATGAGGGAGATGGGAGGAGAAACACAGATACAGGTAGAGAGGGAGCAGCTCAGAGAATGACAGACAGGGAGACAGAATGACGGCAATGGGAGAGGTTCAAGAGATAGACAAGGGAGAGAATGAAGGCCAGAGAGAGAGAGACAGGAGAGATGAGAGAGGGGAAAGTTGGAGGGGAAGAAATCCAGGATGAGAGGGACCCCACAGCCATCAGGAGACAGACACATACACACATGAGCCAGGGAAGCAGGCACAGAGAGCCGAGCGCAAAGCCAGGGAGAGGAAGCCAGAAATAGCGAGGCGAGGCAAAGATCGAGACCCCCACCAGGGAGGTGCCCAGCACAGACATGAAAGGAGGCCGGGCAGGCGAGTGGCGGGAGGGCCCAAAAATAAAAGGAGGAAAAGTGGGAAAGGGAAGGGGAAAAAAAAATTAGAAAAGGGTGGATAATATAAAGGGGTCAAGTGGAGAGGGGAGAGAAAGAAAGAAGAAATTAGTGGGGCATCCCAAGGGGAGAAAGTACCCCCATGACCATGCCCTTCAACTCCTCAACCCTAGTCACAACCTGTGACCCACTTTGTCCCCACATTCTACTCCCTTCCGCATTGTCAATGAAAGAAAGGGAGGGAGTTGAGGCCCACGCTGGCCTTGCAGGGTTGGGGGGCCACAGCTGCAGAGAGCTGAGGGGGGGGGTATCTCTGGCTCCCAGCCCAGAGCAATTTAGTAAATTAGAGGAAATATAGGGCCCCATGCTGAGAGCCCCCACCTCCCTCCAGCCCCCTGTTGAATACTGGCTGCCTGGGATAGGAGAAGCTGGGAGCCCAGACTTCCTGGTCTGAAGGAGGAGGGATCGGATTTGGGTGGTCTGCACTCCTGGGTTTGACGGAGGAGGGGCGAGGGTTCTTGAATCTGAGGGAAAGGGGGCCTGGGGACCTGGATCAACGGGTCTGAGGAAGAGCTGGCCTGGGGTCCTGGACTTGGTCCCATAAAGGGACTGTGGCGCCACTAGGGATTTCCTGAGGGGTGAGGGTCTAGACAGGGCAAGGTTCATTCTGGCTGTCAATCAGTCTCCTGTCCGGTTGCCATGGTAGCACAGGCCTGGGCCAATGACAGACACCCCTTCCCCGCCTCCAGGCCTCCTCTCTCGCCTCCTGGGCCACTGCCCTCCCCCTCCCCCTCTGGCAGCCCATCCCTCTCAAATCCTGGTTCCCCCCTCGCCCCTCCTCTCCACTCGCTACCCTTCCCTAAGCAGCTGGCTCAATCAGCGCTCAGAATAGCCCCCCTTCCGCCCCAAAATAACCCACAGCTGTGGCCTGGCCCCCGCGGGGTTAACACTCCCTCTCCCCGCCCGGCCCTTCCCGGTGGCTGCTCACCCCTCAGTCCCGCCTCAGCCCCTGGCGGACAGCCCCCCCCTCCCCCGTCTCCTGCCTGCCTCTGCCCTTGGGGACCCCAGTCCCTCCACTCCCCAGCACCCCCTTTCACAGGCGGGTATAAGCTCAGCAGAAATTCTCAGTTCCTTCATAGGGGCGTCAGAGCGCAGACCCCTGTGCCCTGTCCTGCCAGAGATTCAGTAAACTGGACCCCCCCACCTCTTTTTTTTCCTTCATACATGAACTTTGTCCTCTAACAACTCCCAGAAAACCCACGAATACCCACTTTCTCTTGGGCACATCAAGAGCCAGAAGTCCCAGGCCCTCAGTGCCTCCCTCGCCATTTAGAAATCTGGACCCCCCTCTACCCCTCCACCTTCAGCTCCGGAGTTCAGATCCTTGGCCCCTCCTCCCTCACACCCAGGGGTCCTGGACCCTTGGCCTCCTCCTCCCTTAGACTTGGGGTGTTGGACCCTCAGTCCTTTCCTTTCCCAAGGGTCCTGGCCTCTCAGTCTCATTCTCCCCTGGGTCTTTGGAGTCCTGGTTCCCCCTCTATCTCCGGGACTCAGAAATTGAGGCCCTAACACTGTCTTCCCTCACTCTCAGGAGTCTTGGCTTCTCAGCCCCCTCCTTCCTCAGACCCAGGAGCTCAGAACCCTGGTCCTTTCCCCCCTTAAGGACCTCTCTTGGTCTCCAGCCCCATCAGTTCCAACATCCGGGGTGCACCTCCCCACTCCAGCCTCCCTGGGCAGTCTCCCCACTCCAGCCTCCCTGGGCAGTCTCCCCACTAAGGTTCTGGACACAGCACAGCTCTCGGCCCCTAGCCGAGGAGGAGGGTGCCACAGATTCCTGGGGCGTCCCTGTCCTCACGGCTCCCCCCCATCTACCAGAGAAGACACCAGAGAGGCCACTTGGATCAACAGCCCGCCCCCCCTTGTGTCGTGCTGCAGGCAGCGTCCTGCTCCCCCTCCACAATCCTCTCCCCACCCTAGTCCTGGTGCTTGGAGCTGTTGGAAGGGTATTCCAGATCCGGGGGACAGGGGAGGTGGTTTGGGGTGAGGGGTGCCAGGGCCCTGGATGCCCTCAAGGTCCTTGGCGGGGTATTAATAGCAGACTCATAGGTCTGAGGAGGGAGGGGAACGCGAGAGACGGAGGGAGAAGGATTGGCCGGCAAGGGGGAGGAGGAGGGGGGACAGAGAGAAGGTGAGGTGGAGATATGGGGTGCCAGGTATGTGGGGCTGGGGTGAGGGAAGCAAGTGCTGTGGAAATGTAAGGGTTCACAAGGGTCTGGGGTGTGAAGACCCAGGAGAAAAGAGATCTGAGAAGGGGTGGAGGAATGTCCCCAAGATACAAATGCAGCCTGGGGGCAAAGACCCCCTGCCCCTTCCTTTCCTCCCTCCCTGTTACCCCGCGGCTCCTGGCCAACTTTCCCTGTCCTAGATTTTGGGGTTCACATCACCATCCCCACCCCAGCATTCCCATTCCGGCCTTACCTTTTCATGACCCTGTTCTGTGGGGGGGAATGCAGGGGGCCAGGACCGGAACCGGAGTCCAGCGACCCGAAGATTTGTCCAGAGGGCTCAGGGCGCCTCTGGGGGTGGGGGGGCCAGGCCCTGGGGCGGCGGCGGCGGTGGCAGCAGCGGCGGCGGTGGCGGCGGCGGCGGGGACCTCCTGCCCGGCTCCGTGTGTGTCTCTCTCTCCCTCTCTCTCTCTCCCTCCTCTTCCTTGCTCCTGTCCTGCCCTGTCTGTCCCCCAAGGTTGCGGCCACACAGGCTAGGCGAGGACGCGGTTACACATGTTGCTCTGGAAGTTGGGCCCCGGACATTGCGGAGGCTGTCGAGGGAGGGGGGGGGTTGTCCTCTTGCCGCCCCGACCCCGTGGGGATCCCCCCTCCGCCCACCTGGGGTGCCCCCCTGCACCGCCTTCAGCCCGGGCTCCTCCCCCTGTCCATGTGTCGGTCCCGCCTCTCCCCGACTCACTCGAACCCCCCTCTTTGTGCCCTGTGGGGCCCCCCCTCTCCTTCAGCGTCTGTGTCTGTCTGTCTGTCTGGGTCACCTCTGAAGCCGGTGAAGGCTGCTGTTGTGTGTGTTTGTGTAGGGAGCCTGCCTGGGCCACTGCCGTCCCCCTTCTTCACTCAGCCACCTCCAGACCACCTCCACCACCGCCACCCCCACCCCCCGGCGCCCCCACTCTCAAAACCAGCCAGCAACACAGACACACGCACACACACGCACAGCTCACTTCCCCGGGATTCCCCCTCGACACCCCCAGAGCCAGGCGGAGGAAGCCAAGCACACACACACACCCGGGGGGCTGGGGGGCTCCGATGGGGGCCGGGTCTCCACTGCCGTCCGGGGCTGATCGGACAGACAGGAGGACACCGGCAGCCGGGGACGCCCAGACGCCCGGCCGGACGCAGGCAGGCACAAAGCCCAGGTACACACCGCCCAGCGGGCTTGGGGGGCCGCGGCGGGGACTGGGGAGGGAGCCCCGCGACACCTTAGGCGGGCAGCTCGGGGCTGGTGGAGCGGGGTGGGGATCGGACAGACAGACAGACAGACAGACCCCTCCCGCCCTGGCCTCCGCAGCCCTGACACAGACACACCCCCCCCTCCGCCAGCCCAGCCCCAGACGCCCGGACGCAGAGCCTCACCGGGCAGATGGCAGACGCACGAAAGAACCCTGGGGGCCGGGTGGACCCACCCAGCCGGGCGCCCCCCGAGCCGGCGCCGTGGCCGCGGGGAGGCTGCGGGGGACCCGGCGGCCGAGCGGCGGGTGGCGGCGGCGGCGGCCGCGGCTGCTCGGAGCCGGAGCGGGAGGGACTCAACACACACACCCGCTCGGTTCCAGCACACACACACTCATCTCGGGGAGGCGATTAACATTCAGTCCCCGTCCGCCCTGCGGGGAGACCCACAGCACCCCCCCGCCCGGCCTCCCCGGGGACCCCTCCTCCTGCCGGCCGGGGAGTGGGGTGGGGAGAGGGGGCCGTCCCCACTGCCGCCCAGCCTGGGCCTCCTGCCTGGGACCGGGGAGTGAGGGGCGCCAAATTGAAAAACGGGGGAGGGGGGGAAAAGCAGGGACTCGGGACTTGCGGATACCAGTTTGGGACAGATGAGGGGGGTGCTGCCCTCAGCCCCCCGTCCCCGCTTTGAGGCTGGGGAACTGGTAGACTGTCTCCCCACTTAGTCTTTTGCCGTTCTAGGACCCAGTTTTTGCTTTCTGTTGCCCCCAAGGCCAGGCCTGCAAACTAGGTCTCCTTTTCGCCCCTTATCCTCACCTTTGGGACCCAGGGTCCAATGGCCAGATTTCCCCAGGGCCCCTCCTCCCTCCCACCAGGAGTCCAGGTCTCAGCTCCCTCCTCTCTCAGACCCAGGAGTCCCTGGCCCCCAGGCCCTCCCTCCTCCCTCAGACCCAGGTATATGTGTGGGGCAGCCTCTTCTCAAACTCAAGAGTTCTGTCTCCTCCCCCAGACCCCCAAGTCCTTTCTCTCTCAGACCTTGGAGTCCTGGTCCCTGATCTCAGCCTCCTTCCCAAGCAGGAGTCTGGGTCCATGGTTCCTTCCTCCTGCAGACCTAGAAATCCAAGCTTCTGTATCCTCCTGCCTCCCTCTCCAGGGCTCAGAGTTCAGGCCCCAGCTGCCCCAACACCCAGGAACCCAGGAATCCCCCCTAACTCCCCCAAGACTCAGTTTCTTCTTGAAAATGCAAGCAATCGGACCCCTAGCACCATCCCCTCTCAGGGACCCAAGCCAAGGACTCCTAGATGCCACCCTGAGCCACCCAGTGCCCCTAATCCTCTGAGGAAGCCAATATCTCTGCATCTCTTTTTATTCCTGAGGGACCCCAGCCCCCATCATGTGTGTACAAATGTCTAGAAGGACCCCTATGGACCACCATGTGACTACCCCTGATTGACAAAGTTCAGACCACAACCTGTACCCTCTGAGGGTCCCTCCTATCAGCTGGCCTGCTCCAATACTTCAAGTCCCAAATCGGGGTCCCTTTGCTTCCATAAACCCTCCAAGTACTAGGGTGAAGTGATACACTGAGGCCTGGACACCTGAGTGGAGGCTGGGGGGGAATTCACTGGAGCCATGCTGTGGGGGTTCAGGGAAGGAGACCAGGTCAGGCTTGCCCTTGAATTTGCTGAGTGGGACTCCGAGGACCTTCTTCCCACCTGAGGTTTAGGTGGGCAAGGGCAAGGGCTCACCTTTCTGAGGAAGCAGGCTTAGGACTGTACTGTGGGTCCCAGAGAGAGTAGTGGAGGGCTTTGGGGGACTTAGACCTCAGGGGCCAGGATGGTTGGATGACAGAGTGGTTAGAGTGGTGACTCTTAAGTCCTGAGTAAAGGGTTCTTGGAGGTTGAGGGGGTTGGGAGCCCAGACTCCTGAGTCTAAGGAAGGAGTAAGCTGGGATGTGGACTCCTGGGTCTGAGAGAGGAAGTTCTGGGCACCTGGACGTCTGGTCTTAGTAAGAAGGAGGCTGGGAGTCCAGATTCCTGGTCTGAGGGAGGAGGGGATGGGGGCCCAGATTTCTGAGTTGAAGGAAGTCAGGACACCTAGGTCTGAGGGTGAAAAGGCTGGGGGCTGGGGTTCCTGGGTCTGAAAGTAGAGGGACTGGGGGCTCAGGACTCCTAGGTCTGAGGGGTGAAGGGTGGGGAGCTCGGGATTCTGACTCCTGGGCTTGAGGGAGGGAAGGAGAGGAGACCAGGGGCTCAGATTGGACAGAGGAATGAGAGGCTTGGGGTCCTGATTATGGGAGCTGGTCTTTGAAGCTGGCAGTAGTGTCCTGGGGTCTTTGCCTACGATATTAAGACCGAGTCACTGTCACCGACAGAAGAGAGCAACAGGACAGCCCCCCTTACAAAGCACTGAGGGCAAGTTCTGAGCCATGGAGCTTCAAGTCTCAGTGACCTCACGGGTTTTTGTTTGTGAGGAGGCACTCTGACTCCTTTGCAAGCAAATAGGTGGTAGTGGTGGAAGGGGTGCTGGTTGGCGCAATGGTGCTGTTAACAGAAAGGTGAGCAGTTCGAACCCACCAGCGGCTCCGAGGGAAGAAAGGACTCGGCAATCAGCTTGCGTAAAGATGACAGCCTAGGAACACCCACCGGGCAGGTTCTACCGTCCTATGCGCCGGAATGGACCTGGCGGCACCCCGCAACAACAACAGGGGGCGCCCGAGAGCAGGCCCGCCCCGCGGGCGGAGCCTCCCGGCCCGGCTCCTCCCCGCCACCTCCCTCTCTCCAGCTCCGGCTCCGCCACCAGCGCAGGCTCGGCTCCCCAACCGGGTCCCTTCCTGGAGCTGAGCCACCGAGGGTCCCCTCTCCCGCCCGCCAAGCCCAACCGCCGGCCCGCACGCAGCCCCGGGGGGCCGCCCCCCCAGCCCAGCCAGCCTGTCCCCCCTCGAGCGCAGCCCCGCCGGCGCCCTCCCACCATGAATCTCTTCCGATTCCTGGGAGACCTCTCCCACCTCCTGGCCATCATCTTGCTGCTGCTCAAGATCTGGAAGTCCCGCTCGTGCGCCGGTGAGACCCTCCCACCGCGGCGAGAGGCCCCCCGAGGAGTCGGAGGGGGCGTATCGACAAGGGTTTGGGGGAGCTGCCCCTCCCCCCCACTGCCCGACTAGGGGGAATCCCCCCCTTTTCCAGCTCCGGGGTCACCAGGGGGTCAGCTCCCTTTTCCCAGTGGGGGGCCCCGGTCCCCAATCCCAGCCCGCTGGGCCCGATCCCGGGGTTCCGGGGTTGGGAGCAGGGAGCCGTGGCGGGCGGGGAGGTGGCTGGGAGTTGGTGACGTGGACGGTGGCGGCCGGGGAGGGAGCTGGAGGGAGGTGGCCCGTTTCGGGGAGCAGAGGGCAGGCCCCGATTTCTTTGGGCCCCCACCAGGGTGCTGGAAGGTGGGGAGCCCCCGAGAGGGGGGTGGATCGTGGACGACCGCGAGGCCTAGCAGGGGCCGGAGCCTCGGGCTGGAGTAGCTGCGGGGCCGGCCTGCCCCCTGGCTGTGGGACGTGGGAAAGGACCTTCTCAGGCGGCGGCCCGGGGCTGCTGCCAGCGGGGGGACAGCGGCGCCCCTCGACCTCGCTGGGTGGAGCCCACCCTCAGAATCCGATCCCAGTGCTCTTGTCCTTCTGGCCTGCAGGGATTTCGGGCAAGAGCCAGGTCCTCTTTGCCGTGGTGTTCACCGCCCGCTACCTGGACCTCTTCACCAACTACATCTCCCTGTACAACACGTGCATGAAGGTGAGGGCCCCTCCCACCGGGAGCAGGGGGTTCCGATTCCTGGGGGGTGGGGGGGGGCTGAGGGCTGACTTCCAGGCCCTAGTTGAAGTAGGCTGGACTCCAGGGTCTGAGAGTGGAGAGGACTGGGGGGCTGGACTGCTGGGTCTAGGGTGGGCCCTCCAACTCCTGGGTCTGCAGGAGGAGGGACTCGGGGACTGGACTCCTGCATCTGGGGTCTCTAGACTCTTAGGTCTGAGGAAGGAGGAGAGGGTGGGTGTCCTGGTTTTGAGGGAGGAGGAAGAGGAGGGGGCTGGAGTCCTGAGTCTCAGGGAACCCTCCACTCCTGGGTTTAAGGGAGAAAGGTCTAGAAGGTGCCTGCCTCCAGATTCCCCAGCCTGAAGGAGGAGGGCAGAGGGGCTGAAGTCATGGGTCTGGAGAAGCCCAGATTCTTGGGTCTGAGGGAGGAGGGGGCTGGACTACAAAGTTTGAGGGCAGAAGGGCTGGGGGGGCTGGACTCTTGGGACGGAGGAAGGAGGGGTGGTTTCCTGGGTCTGAAGTGGAGAGAAGGGTGGACTCCAGGGTCTCAGCAGTTCCAGGGTGGAATCTGCACTCTGAGCTGAGGTGTCCCCCGTGCCCCATCCAGGTGGTCTACATCGCCTGTTCCTTCACTACGGTCTGGATGATTTATAGCAAGTTCAAAGCCACTTACGACGGGAACCACGACACGTTCCGGGTGGAGTTTCTCGTCATCCCCACAGCCATCCTGGCATTCCTAGTCAACCATGACTTCACCCCCCTAGAGGTAGGTCACCCCACTGGGACCCCCTGTAATGGGGAGGGGGATGCGGCTGCAGGGAGCAGGCCCTCTCGACTTCCTTCTTTAGGGTTTGCTCAGAGCCCCGATTCTAGGCCATTCAGGCCCACCTGGGCCCTCAGTGAGGAGGCGTGGACATGGCCACCACCCTCTCCGGGCAGGACGCACCCCGAAGCATTTCTCCAGTGCTCACACATTACTCTTCATAGCAGCCCTATTGTATAAATGAGCAAAATGAGGCTTTGACAGTTTAAATGAGCCCTCCGTGGTCACCCCAGGATACCTGAATATGAACCCCAAACTTGCTCATTTTTGTTCCTGTCATAGTGGACTTGTTTCTTGATCTCTCTGTGCCTCATTTTCTCCATTTGCTAAGTCCGTTAGGATCGGTCCATTGTGTGGACGTGTGCAAGCGTGGACCCATTGCTATGGGGTCGATTCTGAGCCCTAGGACCCCATGTGTTACAGGGAAAGAGTTTTCTTGGCTTTCATTAAAAAATCGAAAGTCACGTTAATTCAGAGAATCTGCTGTCAGGGACCTTTCCAAATTGCTGAGGAGCAATGATGTCAGTTTGAAGACTAAGGTGTAACTGATTCAGGCCGTGGGCTTTTCAGTCACTTGCTATGCATCTGAGAGCTGGACAGTGAATAAGGATGACAGAAGAAGAGTTGATGCCTTTGAGCTGTGGTGTGGGAGAAGAGCGCTGAATGGCTCGTGGACCGCCAAGAGAACAGACAGCTGTGTTATGGAGACAGTGCGGCCAGAATGCTCCTTAGAGGAAAGGATGGCGAAACTTGTCACACGCTTTGGGTGTGTCGCTAGGTGAGGCTTTTCCTTGGAAAGGGACATCATGCTTGGGAAGGAGGAGGGTCCGCCAAAGAGAAGACCTTCAACAAGATGGAATGACAGTGCTAGGCCTTGAGCAGGTCAGAAATGAGGATGGCACAGGAGAAGACAGGGTTCCTGGGGTCACTATGAGTCATACTTGGGAACCTTAACAATATAACAACAACAATTTCCATGAAAGCAGATCCCCAAGCCTTCCTGGCACGCTACCTACCCTGGGTGGATTTGAACTGCCCGTGGGTAACTTGGAGGCTGAAAGCAATCTGTGTGAGAGGAATCGTGAATCCAAGGCAGCCTTCCCTCCCCAAGCCCAGGCCTCCTCTGAGGGAACTGGCCTGGGTGATTGAACTTCTCTCCATTTTCAAGAAAAGCCACAGTTGCGGCGTTCCTGGGTGAGATCCCACTGGCGGTTCTCACTGGGGTCAGATGTTGCTTGGCCACTGACCCCACATCTGCCGAAAGCACTGTGCACCTCCTGGAGGAGGTGGCTTTTGGCCCTCGGGTCGCCACAGTTGAATGAGGTCACCAGGTTGGAATGGGAACCTGGGGCCCGGCCCAGCTGCTGTGGAATTTACAGATAGAAACATTGTCACCCACGAGGGCACCCAGTGGTGGCAATGCCAAGCTCTTGATTTGCTCATTGTAATCAACCGTGCCGAGCAGAGTGGTTACGGGGGGCCACTGGGCCCATTTTACAGATGTGGAGACTGAGTCCAGGGGAAGCAGTAGGGCTTGCTCAGAGTGGAAGGAGGCTGGCACCTTGACTCCCCGCTTTCCCTGGTTCTGTCCTTCAGAGCGGGCAAGCCATTTGTGCAAAGTGTTGACACCGGCTGCCTACCTGGCCTTGCCAGTTTCTGGGGCCTGCGGTGCAGCTCAGAGGGGATTGGGACCTGGGCCCATTTTACAATCCATTGTCGATGGGTCCATTCTGACTTGGAACTATCCCACAGCGTCTCCAAAGCTGTGTTCGTTCTTTTTTTAAAATTTTTTTTTATTTTATTAGTTTTTTGTGTGTGTACTGTCAAATCACATCCGACTGGTACAGGAGGAGGGCCTTGCCCCTCCTTCTCCGGCAGAGCATCTGGTGGATTCGAACCGTGTTCCTCTGGGATTGCAGTGCAGCTTTTTGCCACTAGACCACCAGAGCTCCCTCAAAGCTATGTTCCTTAGGGAAGCTGCCTGCTTCGTTCTTATCCTCTTGGGTTCACATTACTGATTTAATGCTTCCATCTCTGCTCACCAAAGTGCCTCCCACCTCTTTCTAAAAGCCTGTACTCATCACTGGCACATCCAATTCTTTGATTATTATCTTTTTTTTTTTAATTGGGGAAGAGAAATAGCTTCTTGAGAAAGTCACATGTTACAAAAATATGTGTCATAAAATGTGACACATGCCCCCTTCCTCCCCATGCCCTGGTTCTGCTTCTCTGGGGGTCACCCCAAGGTGTATGTCTGTTTAAGGGGTGCATTTCTGGAAAGCCTCAGCTGACCTGTTGTTGTTGTTGTGCCGTCGAGTCGCTTGAGACTCATAGCGACCCTATGTACAACAGCCCTAAACTCC